AGATTAATGTATAGTTAAAATAGAAAATACATGATTAAGAATAAAAAATAAAAGTGTGAAAGTGTGTAAATTATCAAAATCACGAGATACACTTTTGCCACGATCACAATGTTTATTTTAGTCCACGCCTTCCTACCCGGCATTTACAGCTTTCCGGGCTTGACTATAGAAGCGCTGAACTTACCGAATGTTTCATCCATCATGCTTCATAGCTCAGTGTACAAAGGACTCACTGTGCGTGGCACGGATGTCAGAAACAGAGCGGCGAATCACGTGAACCCAATAAGAGGAATAGCGTTAAACATGTTAGTCACAAACTAACAAGAAACAACTGCACAAAGCCATTTCATTCTGCTGAGCTACATAACATGCAAGTTACTTCTGTCTCAGCCTTATATCCGCAATTGATCCACTGAAGAACAAAGAGGTTTTTGCTCATTAATTCGAATAAATTTACATTTTAAATGAAGCGGAAACTTCAATGAGAATTTTCAGTAGGCGTCTGGGATTGAGGTATACGGAAGGTGTACTGAAAGCCTTACCTTAATAATTGGTAAATGGAAGTTCATTTCAATTTGGTGTCGGAATAAAAAGAAACTCTGCAGTTCTCTCTTTCTCTCTTCTTTCATAATTGCCCAAGACCCGGACTCTGTCGTAACAACTCTCTGAAGGACGAAGTGCAAAAGAGAGAGAAGAGAAGTGAGGGTGGTAGTGAGAGACACTACATTGGGGGGGGAGTAAGAAACTATATCTCCGATTTTGAAGGTTCCCAGGCAGTGCCCGCTTGTCCTTCTGGTAAAGATAGAGCATATGATGGGATTTTTTTTTATTTTTTTTTTGCTAACGTTGGGAGGGCTATATTAAGGCGAAATTTTTATGTTAACAATGGGAGGGCTGCATGTGAGGCATGCAGTGCAACGTGGAATTTGGGTACCAACTCAGCATTTGCTCTAGTACCAAGGAAAACCACGGAAAACCTTGGTCGAGCTGGCCGGTCTCAGGACCTTCCGGATACAAACTGACTTCTAGCCAGCAGTCCGGCTTAAATACGTGAACCCTAACATTAGACCCTGTCTGTGCGGTTGCTTTATCTTAAAAGTTTACATATGTGTTTCTACAGTTTTTTTGCATACTTCGGATGATACACGTTTAAAGAATATATAAAGATCAAGTTCGTACCTCACAGGAAACACATTACGTCTCCTCTACAGAGCCCAACCGGTTAATGCTGTTTAGGGAATTAATCGCTGTTTATTGTGAGAACCATATGGAACACATAAATACACTGTGTGGGCAGAATGCAGAGTTCAGTCTGTACCTCACAGGAAACACATTACGTCTCCGCTACAGAGCCCAACCGGTTAATGCTGTTTAAGGAAATAATCGCTGTTTATTGTGAGAACCATACGGAACACATAAATACATTGAGTGGGCAGAATTTGGAGTTTTATTTTAATGTTAAACAGGTGGTACCTACACGCAATGCAGTAATGATTAAGGCAAAGGGAAGCATATTTTTTTCCTGCAGTTTTATATGGATGTTAAACTTGGTGTCTAAAGGCGAAGAAAGAACATATACTGGGGATGTCTGAGAAGACGGTGCTGAAGAGTAGGCAGATACATTATCCTAAAATTCTAAACCTGACTAAATAGGATATGTTATTCTCTAGAGGTAAGCCATGAGGCTTTATTCAGCAACAATGACCACCGCAATACCGATTCAGATTGCCTTCAATGATTGCTGCCATAATCTGCTCATATTCGTAAATACTTGCTGATATACACGACGACGGAGTAGCAAACTTCATATTCTTATAGATCTATATATCCATATGCATCCAGTGTTACCATTTGCATCATTCTGTTCAATTACTATTACCCATGAGCCTTAATACATCTTAGAGTTATTACATCTGAGAGAAATATCCTAAATGACATGTATGCTCATCCATAAAATACAGTATAATGTCTGATACGTAATATCTAGTTGAGACGTTGGGCAGCAAAGGACGCAGTACCCTCAGTGTCTAACAGATGGCGTTGATATTTATGACTATTGTCATTCGGGATGGATGGAAGTGTCATCTGTGGAAACCGTAGCTGGAGATGAAAAATTATCAAATCTTCTCGTTGAATTTTGAAAGGGTATTCCCCTAATTGCAAATAAAGACGAGACAAAAATAATGTTTGTTCCAAACGCACCTTTTAAATGTAATCCTAACAGTTTATAGAAACGTGTTTGGTTCATATGTGCAGGAGAATAGGAAATCTGAATTCCAGATTGGATTATAATTAACAAACCAATGGAAGACAACGTACCTCGAGAGCTGACTGAACACCGGGGAATTAGGAGACGTTTGGCGTTGTCACGAAACAAGTTTAAAGACAGAATATAATATACATACATAGTGAACAAAACAGTTTAAAGGGGATGGAGGACGTAGAAATTAATGTAACAGTGACTATAATTCGGGCACACACCTCCCTTTGTTTCACCCGCTTGCCACGAGACGCAGTATATGAACAGGACAAAGTACAAAACAAAATAAATTTCATAAAAAGTTCTAAAAGTTCGTGAGGGTGGTATTGCAGCATACAGAGCCGTTATTAAGCGGTGACTCTGTAAACAACGATCGTTTCTGAGCAACGGCTCGGTAAACACGTTCCCGCTGCAAAGAATACGAACGCAACAATAGAGTTGTTGTTGGAAACGGGGTATTTCTACGTTGTCCGTGTCGAAATGATATAAGCAAGGGGCAATGTCAGTTGTTAAGACAGTTCTGCACAGGCTGTGAAGATAGAATCTGAGAGCGTGAAGCTGAATATTTTCCATCTTTAAAGCCGTCATCAGGGAACGGCTGGTAAAGACATAGCAGACTGAAAAAAGCTTAGCGGGTCCTGCGGTGATTTGTGACTTGTCGAGATTGGTCGGTGGCGCAGTAATAACTTGTAGTACCGAGTGGTGTGTACAAGGGGTCGATATATCCATTCACCAACCCCTACCCCGTCTATAGTCAAACACATAGGTAACAACAGTATATTAATATAATTACTGTGTTTCTGGGCATTATCCACTGTCCTGTTTTTATTCAAAACACGACGTTTCGGAGACTGGATTCTGTCTCAGTAATTTTGTGTGTTAAAAAAACAGGACGATGGATAACTACCATAATCTCGGCAACAAAAACAAATTGGAAATAATCAACCAAATGAACACACCAACCTTGCCTGTGTGGTTCGTTTTCTTTTGTCTTCTGTTATATAAATCTGCATTTAAACGCGCAATTCTTGGTTTGAAGTGGTTTACGTTGTAATATCCACGTTCGTGAAATACGGATAAATGAATGCACCGTTTGACCACCGCAGTTGTACGTACTGACACTGAAAACACGAAGGCTTTGAAATGGTAGTCGAAAAAATACACTGCCTCCATTTTTTGTTGAGAACGCATCTGACATAAATGGTGTTCGAAAGATGCTTTTTCCAAAGCAGGGTTCTCAGATCGACGACGTTTCTGCTCATGAAAAAAATTCAATATTAAAACAAGAACTCCGCATAGCTATCGACAGAACTACCCTGTGCCATTAATCTGAATCTATTCCACTTGCTCCAGCTAAGTTGTCATTAATGTAAATTCGTAACTCCGATGGCAAACTGTGATTTTCCACCTACTTCCCTTATTGTTTAATAATAAAAGTAGACTTAATTAGATCATCTTGCTGTTTGTGTGTGTATCTGTGTCCCTATGTGTATCCCCTCTAATAATTTCTGAACGCCTAACTCGATCTTTATGAAAATTGGTTTGCATATCATGTCACCTGAAGTCACCTCAACAGCAAATATCTTTCTCTCCTCAATAATAAAAACACTGTAACCTCTAAAATTGTTGTGGTAATGCCTTCACTATTACTAGAACGCCTGTATCACTCTACATGGAATTTGATGTCACTTGAGACCATCTCAACGGCATACTTCATAAATCCTTCCCATCAGTAATACCAACATGTGCAGCCTCTCAGATTTTATCGTTTGATTGACTTCATTACTCACGCATACAAAATTCTTTTTCTACTTGAACGAAATATTGAAATTTCAAAGAAACAGAAGTAAGGAATTCATTCTTCCCAGAGCTTTTTGTTATTGATATCTGAAATGTAAATGTGGCAAATCCTCGTTTGTTTGTCGATAAGCAACAACGTACAAGACTTGATTTCTTTGTATTATTGACTAGCCTGATGCGTTTCTTCACGATGAAATTCGGTGTCTTCTTTAATACTGAAGCTGAAATGAATTTTATTCACCCACCTTATGCGTTTCCCCATTTTAACTCTTTACAAATTGAATTCACAACACAGTACACAAAAACAAACATGAAAGGTCACTTTATAAATATCAATGTCTATTTGAAATATAGATTCAGTCATCTGACTTTCAGTACTGACATAAAAGAAGGGTCAAAACAAAAATAAGATTTGTTTTCTGTCCCTCCAATGCGAGTTATCCACAAGGAGAGGCTGTTATAATTCTTTCTATCTCTCTCCTTCTCGCACTGATTTCATTGTCGTGGCTACCGAACCCTGTCAGGTTACACGCTGTGGTATTAATAAAAAGACACAAATAAAAATGCTTAAAACTGAAGCCTCCTAAACTGAAAACAAATCCTAATTTCGCACCTAACCAGAAATCATATCATGGACACCTAACGGGGAGGGCGGGAGGACAATACCTTATAAACTAATATAAAAAAAAACAACATCATTTCCACATAGGCTGCCAACTTGACCTTGACCTAAGTCCTGAGTCATGGCGGCTATCGTAGCAAATACAGAGTTGCCTCGCACGGTGACGTATTACTACCATGACCAGTCTGGGGCCGAACTGACATGATAAGACCGGACCGATGCTATGGCGTACCCAATTTGCTGCATGTACCCAGCCCATCCTCCTGCGGATGGGCCCTCAACCGCTAAAGATTCCGCACGACACTGTTATGGTCTTACCGTTACGGTTTGGGCGGAGCTCCTCTTGCCGTGGTCCCTGGTTCGAAGTCTTCCTCAGATGGAAGCTGTTGTTTCCACGGGAACGTTGCAGCCGGTGACAAAGTGAAAGAAACTGGCACAACACTGCATCGGAAACACTTAGAGGGCCGTTGCAATGACACAGCACAAATTACCGGCAGATTCTTGCAAACGGATACTCGGTCTCCCCTTGGAGACTTCTACCACGAACAACAACGGATGAGCACGGCGCCGTAACATCCGTAACTCTGCACACGCATGCGCACTTACACAGCGAGCATGGCATGCAATTAACATGGCGGTTTGATGGAGGCACAGAATTAAGTGAGATTGCAAGGAGCATAATCTGTGGAATACGACTGCATAAACTGTTAATGTGTTGATGATTGCAACACATACATCTCTGTTTGCTTAAAAATGTGGTCTGACATGTGACGACACAAAATACTTGAAGTCCGGATGATTTATTGATACCTGATACAACAGTTCATGGCATAGCAATTTGTCCACGTCGACTTGAAAATATCCACACACAATTCGAAGTATCACACAAACACACGATATTTGACAGAATGTGTAAATAGTACGGTTCATGTCACCCAAATACACAGATCAGATATTCCACTTCTTTAACAATACGTTAACACACACGCTTCCAGCTGATGTATAGAAATTTTAATTTTCATAATTAAAAGTTGTGCTTGATGCCTGTTTCAACCTGGTTCAATATTTGGCTCATTCCTCGACCTTGAAGAATGAGGCGGCATATTCCTCCGAAACGCCACTGTTTTCAAACGGACTACTAGATGATATATCCCAGAAGATAGAATTTTTCAATATTCTAACTCTCATTAAACGAAACTCGCGAACCGCGCAGTACCTACCGCCTGCTACAGAGATAATTTCAAAATTACTCGACAGGATGGGTTCGTGTCATTCGAAGATACTCTTAACTCTGAAGGTTATGTCCGAATGTTAGGTGAACCAATGGGCCTGTTCGGTATGCGAACAAATTTTACGGCATTGTAATTTCTAAACTCTAAAGCTGTACACAGTACAACAGAGTGAAAGCAAACCCGTCTACGCTCAGGCCAAAGTAACAAAGTAAGGCTGTCAAGACGCCAGTTAACAAATTCTGATGTAAAGTTCTAGCCAGAGTTTAGTAGCATGGGAGAATGGATGCACATAACCTCACTCTGGATTTGGGGTCGAGAGTAACGGCAAACCTATCTCAGACAAACGGAAAGCGGAGCTATGAACTGGAACCGCCTGGCTAGGAACGTGGTGACGAGGGTGAGCACTCCGGTACGCAACACAGACATCGGTATGTAACTGGACGGATTGCACCGCTTCGCATCAACTGCAGAGGTTTTGTGGCAGAGGAACCAACTGTGAATACGACGATGATGATGATGATGATGGAGCTAAAGGAAAATGGTTCCCAGGAACTGTCCGGAGGTACTGTCCCGTGAGACTAGAGCCAATGAAACCGAATGGCGGCAGTGAATATGCCGCATAGGGTGAATCTGTAAACTGATATTCTAATAAATGTCTGTGTCCTACTGAATAAAATCACGATAAAACTGAAGATACGATAAACGCTTTATAGGCAGGCCATGTCCACAGACAATAGGTGTAATGTTATTTTGTTAATTACTGCAGAAGATAATCACGATACACCTCAACATAACACAGAATGCCCGATGGGACGTTTTGTTCGTCTGTGAGTCACACATGACAACATCGACGCCATGTTACCATACAAATTTTTAGTGTAAATTCGATTTTATAATATTAAGTCTTGAAACAGACTTGGACCCGTTTTGTGAATAATGGCTACCGCTTGAAATGACTTGTGACAATGAGCTCAGAAAACGTTCCGGGCAGCAATTGTGACATGTACAGCTCTAGCTGCAGTAAGCAGCCCTGGAGATCAGCGATGGTGTCACGTTATGCTGATCATACGATTTGCAAGGCGCGGCTGTGTCTCCAGCCAAACACGCGCCGCAATCTGAGGCATTCTTCTTCACTCGTGATTAAGAATCAGTACATATAGTCGAAACATCTGAGTATATCCAGCGCTGTCGAGAAGTGCAGCGACCAAGTTGTTTTCTTCTGAATGCAAACTACCACATGGCAGTGGGCACATATGAGCGTACAAATAGCGAAACATTAGCATTTTCCGGTCATGCAGATGGAAAGAGGGAGGCACAGAATTGGAAAATTAAGAAGTCTACAGAAGTGTTAGTTGTTAGCGTGTTAGTCAGATAGATTGGCAATTTATATGATCATATGTGGAAACTGACAAACGATAATTTCTACTTCAAACACGGACGTCATTCTGTTTAATAAGTGACGTCATTTTTATTATTGCCAGATTTCGTATATAACCTGAAAGCGCGCGAAGGAAAAGATGCTTCCTTCAGGTAATTAAATATTTTTTAATTATACTGTTATGCTGGTAGTGCTACCTGAGGCCAATCCAGAGAACTAAGAATCGTGAGCATATTTTGAACGTTACTAATATCATTAATTAATGGCCGCGCCATAGCTCAAGCGGTTAGTCGCTAGCTTCCCACCGCGGCGGCCCGGGTTCCATCCCGGGTCTGGTCAAGTGGGATTTGTGGTGGGCAAAGTGGTGCTGGGGCAGTTTTTCTCATGCCAAACTTCATTCCACCAACTGCTCCACAATCACCCTCACCTATCATCTGGGGCTGATACAATAGGCCAGAAGTGGCCGCAGTACAAGCGACTTATTCCCACCCCACTAGCAATAAAGAAATATCATTAATTAAATAATTTTCCTTGGGATTAAAGCGCGGCCAGCGCGTAAGGCTGACAACCTTACCGCCATCTTTGGGCCGACTGTCTTGATAATGTGGGACCCTCAACGTCTCACAACCCTATGGGCCTTCACGGCCTGGTACAGGGATAGCTTCACTTTCACTTTTTTTTTTACTTTACTAATATCATATTTACAGAAATATTTATTTTGAAGTTCTTGCTGTAAATGTAAATTTTGAAAGAATTCTTTTTTCCAATTTTAACTGTGGGGGAGTCATACAGCACGAGTGGAGGGCACAAAATCTTCACTCGTGGCATAGTGCTTAATTAAATAATTACAAGGACAACTTCACCTTTTTTACCTACAGAATTCTACGCAAACGGAAAAACTCCATCTGGAGGATAAATGACAGAAGATTAATTTAAGCTGAAATGTGTTTCTTGAGGCGGAGAGGCACCCTGCAAGTTACCACCAGTTACCAACAGAAGAGGCAATGTTGACAGCAACACTTCACATAACACATCAGGATAAACCTGGAAGCAACCCGCAAAGCACTGAAGATACCAACCTGCAGGATCAAGAAGACTCTCATGACCACAGAAACTGGGGAATTGTCTTGGAGTGCCCACAACAGGGCTCATTCTGGGCAGGACAATAATGCATGATGACAATAATTATGTACGCCCATTTGAAATGATGGAGGAAGGAGCCTGTTGTGGCCGGTTAAAGGTAATATCCCAGAAGGACTTGCACGAAAATTCTGTCAGGATAATCGTAAAATCCAAAAAGCGTTTAATGTAACACAGAATGCTACAACTGACAAGCGAATAACGATAGAAATATAGTAAATTAATTAATCCAAATTTGTTTCAGTTATTGGTAACTTCGGTATCCATTGTCTTACTGTTGAAGATCGCTTGTATTCATCTCCATTATCACCACGGCTTTACGGCGTTGCAGTAATTGTCACACAAAATGATTATGCTTCCTGTCATTCTCGCTAACCTGTCGAAACGGAAACAAAAACGTATCGAACTAAAAGCTTTACTGTTAATGCATTTATAAAGCGATTTTTCTAGGTATGTCTGTATGTTCTTTCTTTTTCTTTTCTTCATTGGCTCTACAGACCCGTTGGTCCAGTTCCCTTCTTTCAGTTTCATGACTATTTATACAGACTGTAGGAGTCCTCGGACGAGTGATCAGCTCGTCGCAAGGCCTCTACCTAGTCACAGGACAACATAAGCACAGCATAAACACATACACACACCAAACATCCACGCCCTGAGTGAGATTCGAACCCCCCGATCCCAGCGTCCGAGCGAGGGAAGACAGTTCATGCCTCAGACCGTTCGGCTACTGTGACCGGCATGTCTGTATGTAATATTCTTATTCCAGTGAAAATACTTATAATACTGTATTTGTGAATTATAATAGCTTTTAGAATTACTGCCATAATAACGTCATCCAGAAATATTCGTTTTTGTTTAAATATGCATCAAAAATGTTTTGTAAAAGAAAATTGTACTGCAAGTTTCTAGAGTGGACTGGAGCTTATTAACTTATTACCTGGTAATACATAAATGAAATGATATGACTAACTGGTGAGAATGTGGAAGGAAACGGTCGTGAACAGCCGTGCCTGGAACAACTGAATTAAAACATGAAAACATCAGTAAATACGCGTGGCACCTAGCTGGGATTCGATCTGAGAGCTTCCCAATGCAAGCCCTCAGCGTGAGTAATGATGAGTATGAACTATTTGCTTGCATACTTTCATTCATCTTAATGCTAACAGAATAACGTTTCCTTTTTATATCAGAACACGAAATTAAATTAAAAAATTGATATTGTCATAATAATTCGCCTCTGACTAACCGAACTGCATTGGTTATCCTTGGAGCGATATGTCACTCTTGCTACAAATGGCTAAGCACAAATATATGACCATCGGTGAAAACAGACACAAATATGGCTGCAACTTCGTTTTTATTTACAATATGAAAAATAATTTTTCTGTCCAGCACCAAATTTTTCTGAAAATCTTAGCTAAAATTTGGAAAATAATTTACTACGAATTTCACAAAACAGCATGATTATTAATTAATAATATTAAACTTTAATGTCGATTACTTTTGATGTTCATGTTAGCACCGAAAGGCCAGGAAATGCAAAATGGCTGCAAGCAACGATGAATACAATCAGAGCTATTAAATGAGGATTACTAGTGTTCTGGACAGCAGGCAGATTCGATTGATGCGTAAAATCTTACAAGTAAATACCTGTGCTCTTTAGAATGTGCTGTTGCTTTTACATTGTTCAGATATTTACATTTCTTGTCCCACTATAAGAAAAGGGGGCCAAAAAATGGCTATGAACATTGCAACTAGCCCCTCGCGCTGTCACACAGATTATAATTCATAACCATGCAGTTCTAAGTCTTTTAATATTCAATTTACGTACGAATTATGACGTCAGCACTTAAGGGTTCTGAGCTCTGTAACGAACATTTCCTTATCGTGACGAAATGTATCCATGTTACTAAGGCTCACTGTTCAACTAGCAGAGCAAAACAACGT